GTTTTTTTTTTTTATCTCTAGAAACCACACCACAAAAGCTCTCTCTCTGTGTTTTTGGATTAGCATAAATTTATAAAGAGTGAACAAAGGAGACGTCTATATACACATGATAGGTAAGAAAGAGGCTTAAGATGATTTAGCCGGATATCAAAAGAAAAGGATGGTTAGAGCTTTCCTGAAACAATGTGAGTTCAGGTCTTTGCTCTTTTGTCTTTCTTCATTCACAACATGTGTTACTGCCATCTTGTCAGTGAAACAATCTAGTTTCTTTAATTGATTTTTTTCTAAACAATCATCATATGATTAATTTAAAATATCAATAATTGTGTGTAAAATAGTCATTTTAATGGAATTGAATCATTTTTATTCTTTTAGAAATTTGAAGTTTATTATTTCATTGTATTAAAGGCTTCACTCTTTTTTTTTTTTTTTTTTTTTCCCTTAAAATTTTTAATCATTTGTTTTTATTTTTTGAATTTTGTAATCAAGTTGTAAATGACTTAATTATGAGGTTCTTATATTTATCATATGATTACCTTAAAATGTGTATTACAGGGAAAATGATCATCCAGAACAATAATCATAGATTGATAAAAATTAAACATGCCTCTAATGTTTTTAAAAAATTTAAAAATCATTAAATTATATCATTTCTTTTGATAATTGTAACACCTAAATTTTTATTTTTATTATTATTATTAGAATTATTATAATTTTAATTTTTTTTAATTTATTTATTTAAGTAATAATATAATTATTTTAATTTAATTTAATAGAAATAAAAATAATAATAATGATAAAAATGGGTAAAATTATTTTTGGAGTTTAATTAAAAATAATTTAAAAAAAAAAGAGTGAAAATTCAAATTCTGCAGGTATTTTTGAAAATAAAATAGAAAATCATGAGTCAAAACGTAATTTAAAAAAATTGCGCCACGCCAGCAGTCCGGTCAGCAGCTCCGACTAATTTGTGATATACATTTTAAATTGAATAAAATGTGTATTACAAAACAAGAAATAAAATTATGATAATATTAATTCATTTGATTTAAACGGGCTACCTTATATAGGTATACAATCAATGTTAACCACTTATGTATTAAGTGTCACTAACTTCTGTGTTATCTTCTCCACTTGGTATAGATAAACTCTAATATCTATTTTAATAAATTAAATAATAATTTCAGATCAAATAAAAATCACGATTGATTTTGTAACTTTAATACTTTTTTCTAGTGACGGAATTTGATTATTATATGTCATGCTTCGAAGCTAACGTAATACTAAATTATAAGATTATTTTTATTAAAAAGTAAAAAAAAAAATAATAATAATAATATTATCATATTGAGGGGAGTTGAAATAATAGGAAAGTATAACTTTTATTACAATTATTGAATTGAACAAAATAATTAAAGTATTTGTTTAATGGTTAAAAGGAAGGGAATGGAATGAGATGAAAATTAGATTCCATTTGGTAAATAAAAATATCTTTTAGTTTTTGTTTCTTCAATTTATATGAACGTATACAACAATTATACATTTCAAGTTATTTGTTGGTATTCATAATTTTAAGATATTATATTTTTTTAATTAATTAATTAGCCAGTTATCGTTTAATTATGGAGTTATCAATTAATTAAATTCAAACTAATTTAATTTTATAATATTTTGCAATTATATAATTTTAAACCTAAAAATATTGAATAGAAAATAGTTACACATTAATTAAAACGTAACAAATATATAGAACAGGACATATTTGTGATCTTCAATCTCATGTTATATCCGACACGTAAATGCTTATATTTGGTCCTGTTCTTTCATATATATATATATATATATGTACGTATGTATGTATGTATGTATAATGTTATTTTATGCTTTATTCTACATTTTCGTCAGAAATCAATTTAAATAAATTAATGTACTGATATCTTTATATATTCATATATGCTATCACAGTGCTCTGACTGACACTGGTAAACAATTTCAACTCTGCATCTGCGAGTTGGTTGACTGAAGAGTGGACGGTGATAAGTATGAAAACAATATATTGCAATAATGTGTATATAGACCAAAATTAATTGTAATTGTTAAATATTATAAACAAAATGAAAAAAAAAAAGAAATTACTAATAAAAAATAGATCATATGAGATTTATATATGCCTCCCGAGATGTAAATTGGACTTAATTTTTTGGAGCAGTAACATCCCAAGTGCATTATTATTATTATTATTTTTTCAATTTATTTTATTTATTTTATTTTGTAATTATTGAAATTTTATTTAATTTTTTTATTTAATTTAATTTAATTTAATGAAAATAAAAATAATAATAATGATAAAATTGGGTAAAAGTATTATTTGGATTTAATTGAAATTGATTTTGAGAAAAAAGGAGTGAAAATTTAGATTCTGATGGTATTTTTGAAAAGAAAATCAGAAATCGGGGGTCAAAACATAATTTAGAAAAGTTGTGCCACGTCAGCACCACGTCAGCAGCCCCGTCAACGGCCCGGTCAGTAGCCCCGGCCAACTAGGACGCGTCGCGTGGCAAGGAAACACTGACCAGGGGACAGGCCACGTGGCGATCTGCGTGCGCGCGATCGGACGGCCCAAATCCGTTCCCGCGCGCACGGACGGCCCAGATTCACGCGCACGGACGACCCAGATTCAATCAGGCACAGACGGCCCAGATTGCATCGCGACGGACGGTCCATATTTAATCCCAATTAAATCGCGATCGAACGGTGCAGATTTAATCTTGATGGATGGTTGAGATTAAAAGGCAAAGGGTATAAATAACCCCACCCACACCTGACCAAAGAAACCTTAGCCGCCAGTGCTCGCCGGAGAAGCCGGCCGCCGTTACCAGCCGCCGCACCGGGGAAGTTTCCAACCGCCAATCGAGGTAAATTTTCTCCTCCCTGCTCGTTTTTCGATGCTGAGTCCGCCTATGGCTAAACCGAAGGCAAACCACCGGCCAAACGGCCGGAAAAGCCAGCCGAAACCCAGCGGCGCCGCTGCGCCCCTCCTCGATTTTTGCCTCCGATGAGGCCCTTCCCGGCCTCCGTTTGATGCAAATTTTATACCACTGTGATCATCGTTCTTTTCTCTACAAGTTTATCGGAGCCAAACATCAAAACACGACTCACGCCGAAGGAGCCGCCGCACCCAAGAGCACCACCGCCGGTAAATTTCAGTTTTTCGTGATTTTTCGGCCCACCGAGGGCCCTAGGGTTGTTCTATCGCAGGGACCGATGCAAGTGTGGCCG